CCAATCGGCACCCCATACACGCGATCCGCCGGCTCTACAGCCGGCGGATCGCTTGTATGGTATCAGGCACCGCTGCCTGTTTTTAAATTTCGTCCATTTCCCGCTCGTGCGCGCCGAGCGCAAGGGGGCATGTCTGAGCGGACGTCTAAAGAGGCCCGCTCAGATCTAGAGAGCTCCGGGCCAGCCGTTTTTTTACTACGGCCGGCCCGGAGGCAGTTAAGGACCACTGCCCTATGTTCTTAAACTCAGTTGAAGTGGGTTGAATGATGCTGGCCATTCAACCTGGAAGATGGACAACATCTGATGGCGGAAAACAATTAGTGCTGTTGGGGAGGGGAAGGGAGCTTTTCTCCATTCCGGATTGTAAAGAAGTACTGCAACAAAAGCTGACTAGAAAATTGAAGTAGCATTGACAAATACGGCTCTTACCATGTCCATCTTCCCCTAACATCAGGATCCTATTCCTGGCTTCCAGTACTACTGGGATCACAGCACTGAAAGGAAACGTCTGAAGAATCATGTCTTCATCAAGATGAAAGCCAACTTCTTCATCCAAGCCTTCACTCCCTTCAACAATGACATCCACCATGTCCATGACATCTGCAGCATAAACATTAGATGACACATTTCAATTGTGATCCTCCCAAAACTTCCAACACCAGGGTCAGCATGTATCTTATATTACAACATGTCCTTCATTACAGCAGTCATGCAGTAAGGATGCCAATGGATCAGATACTTAGGGTGGCACTGTAGAGGTTACAAATTTGTATATAGAAGTATCTTACAGTATCATTCTACCTTTGTTGAAAAAATAAATAAAAAGAAGTCATAAGCTTTCTTTCCCAACCTCCTCCTGAAACAGTGAGACAGAACTGCAGACTTCAGATGGAGACAAGTGGGACTCTGGACTGCAGTGGCCTGCCCAGCGTAAGGAAGAGTTTACATTCTGAAGCATTATGGTATCCAATACATGCGTCACCACAAAGCCAAAGAATGGTCATTTCCATTCCAATCATGGCACATGTGCCCTTAAAAGCCATGGTACTCCAAGATGTTGTTGGTGTCTACAAGACTTTTACAGCATGCTGTAGACAATGCCTGACCACAGGCATGCCATGGCAGCTTCTTCGACACATGGGGCCTTTTTTTTTACAATTTATGTTCCCTTTAAATAAAAAAAATAAAAAAAGTAGAAATTAAGCCAAAACATTTTCTTGCTTTGTACAGAGTAAGGGACGCAAAAAAAGCATTCTCATGTTTATTTATTTTGCTCGTATTGGTATGACACAAAATGGTGGAGAGAAAAAAAAGCCAAATCTGACACATTCCACACAAAACTCCAAAAATGGACTGGAAAAAAGAAAACATGAGAATGCCTAAACATTTGTAATTGCAACAATTTTCTGCGCAAAGTGGTGCATTACGGATAGAAATGCAGGGGTGCCAATAAATTATATATATACATTTTATTTTTAATTTTGGAAACACACCATCGATGTGGGAGATGGGAATGCTGACTGTGTCGGAATCCAGCTTTCCCAAACTGGACTGGAGCACGCTGGCCTCTTGAACATAATCTGCAGCCTTATCCGTGTATGGATACGGGTTAGACACCAGTTTGACCAAAGCCTGAAAGAAACAAAATTAGAGCTGAAACAAGAATAACTCACTGTAGGCACCTCTGGCAGCAAAATCAGTGTCCCCTCACCATAACAAAGGAGAGGGGAACTGGATATGACAGGCGGGAATTTTGCTACTATCCCGAGTCTGACTCAAAAGTACATGAAGAGGACCTAAAGCCCATCCTAAATGTAATATTTTACAGCACCCCTCCACACAAACACACACACTTCAAAGCTGATTTCCAGTAATCTTTAATGCATTTTTAAACATAACTAGTGTAAGTAGCCAAATCTTTGTTGGCATCAGCCACATATAATTTCTTGTACGGGCATGCAGGGGCAGAGCTAGGAGCCAATCAGAGTCTGGACAAGGATAAATAAAGGTGCCCATACACCTTACAATTATCTGCAGATTTTCTGTGGTCAGATGGAAAAAGTGCAACAGATTGGCCCAGGTGGAGATTACTCCATCCACACAGTTAAGTCTAGATGGAGGAATCTGTTGCACCTTTTCCATCTGACCACAGAAAATCTGCAGATAATTGTAAGGTGTATGGCCAGCTTTAGAGTGACAGGCTCATAATTCTGCTGCTGCTCCTTCACTGTTCAATTACAATCAAGGGACAGGGAGGTGACCATTTGTATTACTTAACTACTGTAGATGCCAACCTGGCTATGCTGTCTAGCAAGTGGTGCAAATCTCTGAAATGGAATAAAAAGATCAAATTCTTTCGCCTCTCCAGCAGGACATGCTCCTGGGGAGGTATAGCCTTGTGTAATCAAGATGCCCCTAGTGCTGTCACATGGGAAAGGGGAGTGAGTCTATCTGGAAGGGCTGTATATTTCACTTTGCTCCCAGCAGCTGACCAGAGCAGTGCGGGACTGAGAAAAAGTTAATATATGCTCCTGAGAAAGGGGGAGTTAAGAGACCATTTTACTTTGCCATAGGTTGGCAAATAAATGGGTTTCTTTAAAGCTGACCCTGGTGGTCAGCTTTAAAAGAAGAAAAAAAACCATTCCTTTGCCCACCTAGGGCAAAGTAAAATCCAACACCATCCAACGTGGATTTAGACAATAAAACAGAATATGTAATAAATGGTTAATTGTACACAGGAGGATTGGTCCTACTGGCCATTTTTAATGACTGTTCTTACCTGCTCTAAAAACTGGATCACCGGTTCCTTAGAGTTCTCCTCCACTGTATCCAGACACCTCAGCCACAGTTCCAGCTCCTGCCAAGTGTATTCAAACACACCACTGTCTTGCAGAATCTGCAGAAATGCAAAAGTACTGGGATCAGGGAACTAGAATGCAACAATACTAAAATGTAAATGTATCAAATCATTGTAATGCACTGTGCAGTCCTAAAACTCGCCATACACAGACAGAGCAGAACTAAAAAAAAACCTTTACAAGCTGCAAATCTGTCACGGATGATGAACTGTCCCCTTCATGGCACTAGAGTTATAACTTGACACATACTGGGGGTAATTCAATAAAGTATGTACAACACTTTTTTGGCAGAGTGGTCCCTTCTTTGTTTAACACCAGGCCTGCAGCTGAATGGGCTGGGGATGAGTCACTGATTGCTAGGAGGCTGTCAGCTGCATAGCCAACAGCCTCTTAGAAACCAATGACACTGATAGAAGGCAGAGCCTGGTGTTGAACTCTGACAGACTGGTTCCCCATCAGGTCCATTTCCGATGTGATTGACAGCAGGCGCATTCCATAGCCAATGGACAGGCTGCTATTAGATATGGATCTGCCCACTGACTGCTGTCAATCAGCAACAGAGCAGACCTGATGGGGAAGTGGTCCCTCAACAGGCTGCGCTCACCGTCATCATCACTGGTTTTTAATGACGTTTTCGCCATTTACATATATTTTTCCCAGCCCTAAATTAGCTTCAAAACAAGTCCTTACTGACCTTTGTAGTTGCATGCATAGCAATGCAACTTATCAAAGTTCAAGCAAAAGCACTGAAGTCCTCCAAGTTGTCTGAGCAGCAAGGTTCCCCCCCTGCCCCTCACTCCAGCAGTGACTCAGCACTCTAATTTCTAACAGAAATACAGAGAAGGAATACTGAGAAGGAAGCAGGGAAAGCAGAGCTGATGTATGATAATGACTTGAAACAGTGCTTCTGCTGTGAATTTCAAGAATGAATTACTTCACAGTGTAATTGTGTCATCAAGTGATTGTTTCAAAAGGTCATTGCTGCTTGTTTAGAACAGCTGAATAATTTAATGTCCGTAGCTAGAAAAAAGATTCAATGAAAAATAAACCTGTGGCTAATTAACATTAATAGGCATAAACGCCGCTGACCGCATAAGCATGAAGACATTTGTAATGCTGCAGGGAGTCTCTTCTTTGAGCTCCCCGACAATGATATGCAAACAAGAACTTGCTGCAGCAGTAGCTACAAGTTAGTACGTTAAGCAGCTACCGAGCTGTGGCAGCTGTTCATTTTGATATATCCTAAACTGTGCATCTCTTCTGCACTATCTACACTGAATAGAATCATAAAAGACTTAGGCTTCGTTCACACCAGATGCAGTGCGTTCCGGCCCAATTCTGGCCAGAACGCACAGCATCGCAGCGGCACACTGTTTTGTGGGGCAGGAGGGGGCGTGGTGGGCCATTAAAGTGAATGGCACCGTAGCCAAGCCCTCCGGTCGCAATGCGATCAGCCGCACGCGATCGCAAGGCACATTATGCCTCTGGTCCGATGCGATCAAAATAGTGCTTACAGCATTTTGATCGGACTGCAGCCATAATGTGCCTTGCGATCCCATGCAGCCAATGATCGCATTGCGGCTGGAGGGCGTGGCTACGGTGCCATTCACTTCAATGGCCCGCCACGCCCCCCTTCTGACCCACAAAAAAGTGAGCCGGCTGCGATGCAGTGCGTTCTGGCCAGAATCGGGTCGGAACGCACTGCATCTGCTGTGAACGAACCCTTACAGCCAATATAGCAACTTTAAAGCAAACTCGTCATTTCCTATTCAAGGCAAAGAAACAGGTTTTCTTTAACCCCAACAGCATCTACTTAGCTTCACTGTGCTTTTTCCCTGCTGCTCCATCCAGCACCAGATGTCAAAGAAAATACCTGGTACTCTCAAGTATGGAAGAACAAATGGGCATCTATAGCCCTGTGTAAACCACTACTCCATCGAAGAGCTTTTCTTTGGGTTCTGGTAGCTGAGCAGGGGAAGCAAAAGAAAGGCAAGTACATGCTGCCAGATAAGGGGGCATTAAAGTGAACCTGTTGCTTTGCCCAGACAATGATGGATATTGGGCACCCTATAGCAGAGCTAGTCTCATGCGATCTCAGCCACAAAAAAGGAAACAAATGCAGTCACCTGATCTAAAAAATGGTAGGTTGCAATATATTGCCTTTTTTGTTCTTGGGTTTAGATACATTTAACTCCACATAATAAAGGATTTGCAAAAAGGGAAAAATAAATCATCTTTACCTTAATAATTAAAAGCCTGGTTGACGTTTTCAGCTGTGTCTTGTTACAAGTGACAAACATTTTCAAAAGTAGATAAAATACAGACTTCTCCCCTCCGGTGTCAGGTGTATCCTGCAAAGGAAATAGTACAGGTCGACATGCATTCTCTCTAACCACGGCATTGTTTAGGCCTCTCTCTCTCTCTGATAGTTATTAGGATGGCGAAAAAACAAACCTGCACTTTAAACCAGGAAAACTTGTTGGCGGGCAACTCCAGGGCCACTTGAAGGATCTGATGCTGCAGGATAGGGGGGACCTCTTCACGTACGCCTTTATCGCACACAATTCCTGGGATGAAATGAAAGATTAAAGTGGGCCCATCACTACAAGTTACATAAATCTAAAAGATACATATCAGCATTGCCAAACACAAATAATTCGGATAGGTACCTTTTCCTTACCACAGCAAAACTGCTGCTCTCAATCTCCCCCATGTGACCTTAAGCCTAAGCAGCCTACACCATATGGCCACTGGCATCCAGAAGAATTAATGTAAATGCAAACAATCAAAACTGAACAGCAATAAAATAAAATGTGAAAGTGAATACAATTACCAGGCAAATAAATATTAAGTGCTAAAATTTCTAGTATATCCAGAGACACCAAGCAACTTTCAAGGTAAATCTTATGGCGTGGGTACACTCCATATTAAAACTGGACACAAAAACATCCATAGAAATATATTCCTCAGAAGCCACAAATTATATAAATCCATCCTCTCTCCAGAAAATGTCTAGGACTGCAACCAACTAATTGATAATAAGAATAATTGGTTGGATCCCCTAGCTCTCTCCTCCACACTGGAAGGAGGACACAGCAGGCAGTGAGCTGGTACAATAACCAGCCTGTTATTGCAGTTTGAAATGGCCAATAGCAGGGTAGCTATTGCACCTGCCCCCTGTAATCAAGGCATCCACTGTCTTTGTGGTCTTGTGTGGATGATGTTGATGGGCAACCAGAACGAGCTTCGTCGGTTACACCTGTTCTTCCCCCCTCTAAACCTTTCTACCCACTCATAAACCTCTCGTTGATTCATGGTGCTATGACCATACTGAGTCAACATCCGACAGTGAATTTCCACTGGTTTCACTCCCTCTGCCCGAAGAGAGATTGTTCTTCGATGGTCTCGCATCTACATTTCTGTCCACATAACTACCACTCGACTACAGTCCGAGAGCTGTCCTGTGCATGGTCGAACTATCCAACAGGCTATGGAAATATTAGGGATGCACTGATACCGATACTGGGCATTTTCACGTGAAAATGCCCCGATACCCAAAACTTATACCGGCGATTTAAATTTCTAAATTGAAGAGGCTGCCTTAGGTCCCGTGCTTGCTGGGGACCTCGCAGCAGCCTTCTTGGGAACTACACGGTGCCGGTTTACAGAGCTTCTACTGGCCCACACATTCCTCCGGAGACCCCCGTTTGAGACAGGAGGTTGGCACCCCGAAGCAGAGTGGCAGCACAGAGTATGTAGCAAATGCATACACTATTCTGCTTTGCTGTATAATGTATTGCTGGGATTTGAAGTCCTCTATAGCTGATGGTATTATTCTGCATTGCTGTATAATGTATTTCTGGGATTTGTAGTCCTCTATAGCCGATGCCATTCTGCATTGCACACACTAAAAGAAAAGGTATCGGTAATTGGCGAGTACTTGAGGAAAAGTAAATCGGTACTCGGTCTGAAAAAAAGGGTATCAGTGCATCCCTAGTATATATGCTGCATTGCGCAAGCTGCGCTCTGCTCCGGTTACCGTGTAATTTATACATTGCCTTTACTTTTTGAGAGAATATATATATATATATATATATATATATATATATATAAACACACACACCTAAATATTGTTTGCTTTGTAACAGGTTTCCTTTTAAAACACCCAGCTTATGTTTGCGAGAACTGAGAAAACTGAAATATCGTATTTATTACTTTGCCGCATTTAAAAGTTATTACGGTCACCCTCCCTTAAATTTGTAACATACCATTCGTATGTTTGATTAGTCACCTAGCAAAGCAGGACAGAAATAGACTGCGAGGGCAGCAATTACACTTTTCCATCAACACACTTGCAGGTAACCTAGATACAGGAAAGGCTGTTCTGATCTGCAGCGAGAATTAACTGGAAGCGGGATGTGAGAAATTCAATTAACTCCAGGCCTTGAAGTCAACTTTTATCCACAATTCCATTTCTCAGGGATTGATTTTTATAAAAATAGTAACAAGGAAACTGGGTCCCGCAGCCTATTGTGCGGCCAGATGTGAAACAGTGATTTCTAAGTGGTTACGAGGGATCGCGGTGTACCTGCCCACAGTGCCTGCCCTTTACTCACCTTTCAGCAGTTTGCTGAAATCGAAATTACTCTGAGACACTAAGTGAGGCACCACCCTCTGATACAGGCACAGGACTTGGAGGAGAGAAGTCTTCACAAGAGTAGTCTGGACATCATCTAGGCAAAAAAGAAGAGTGTGATAACAGCTAATGTGCATGTATTTCAATTTCAGGGTAAAACACATCAAAGAGCAATGCAAGGCAATGTGTGAAATATATCTGTGAGCGCCTGATAGCCAACTAATGATAAAATCAAAAAGTTCCCTCACACACGGGGACCATGGGGAACAAAAGTAGCCCCCCTCCAGAAGGAAGGACAGTGTCAGCACCAATTCAGAGATGATTGGAGGATCTACAGCCAAGTGATACACAAATAGGGTACAGTATTGTTAATAATTAAAAGGTACTGGAACGCATTTTTAACCTGTGAAAGCGGGCCAGCTCCAAGGTTCGGGTGAGTATAACTTTTATTTTCAGCCCTAGACACAAATGAGCAGTTAACTCTTGCAGTCTAGGGGCATTCTCACTGCAAGGTTTAGTTTTGTTTGTTCTTCTTTAACACAAGTATGTGAATTTGTCTTTCTATTACCCTTCCATAATCCCCTACACAGCATCGCTCAAGCTGAGAGAGGGAGGGGTGTGCTAGCAGCTAATCAGGACCTGCTACATTGTACACATACTAACATGGAACATGTTGACAAGAGTAGAGAGCAGAGTGAGCAAAATTGATGACTTGGTGTGTTCTTGCTTCTTGTTAATTCAGCAGTAATGTAGGTGTGGCTTTGACACCAAAACTCTAAAAAAAGAAGATTGTGCCACCTTATTGGCAGTGCTGCCTGGCAAAGCAGTATGAACCACAGAACAGGATGGACAGAATTACAATTTTCCTGGCAGATAAGACACAGATATGTCTATTTCACCCTGATTAGGTGCTGCCTTGAGTTTACCTTTAATAATAGGAGGATCTCAGAGCACAACAAAATATTTTCAGCTGCCTGGAATGCTGAAATTATAACAGGTTCACTTTACAGACAATGCCTAAGACAGGCATTAGACAAGCAGTAATATAATGTAAAATAAAAAGAGAAACTGAAAACCTTACCCTCTTTTCCTGTCAGTACTGGAAGGTCCCCCGAGGAATCCAATGGCTTCCCCTCGGGTGTTCTCCCTTCTTCCTCTTTTCCAGCCTCTTCATGTTTGAGGAGGGACTGCCAGGTTGCTACAACTGTATTAATCTCAGGCAGGAGCTGTTGGGACAAAGACCTGAGTCAGCAATGATCCCATGAGATATCTAAAGATGCCTAGAGTAAATCTGCTCCTCTCATGGGCTGCAGCAAGCACCATATTTAAAATCCCCAAAGAGGTGGCTTAGTGGTCATCATTTATGCATTATACCTCTAGAGGCCCTCAGTTTTAAACCTGGCAAGGACACTACCTGCATGGAGTTTGCATGTTCTCCCTGCACTTGTGTGGGTTTCCTCCAACACTCCAAACTCATGCTGGTAGGTTAATTGGCTCCTGTCTAAATTGGCCCTTGTATGTGTGTATGAATGTGAGATAGGGACCTTAGATTGCAAGCTCCTTGAGGGCAGGGACTGATATCAATGAATGGTATGTAAAACAATGTGTAAGTTGTCAGCGCTATATCGCCCCATGCCTCTTAGTTCATCACACTAATTGAATATCAAGCTACTGCTTTCCAATTAGCCTGATGTTGCAGGATTTAACGGGCATCGTATATGGCTGTATAATAGCAATGTTTCTGTGGTGCGATATAGTGGTGGGACAGTCCTGTGTGGTGCAACCAATCCCTTTGAGATCTGTCATAGATGAGAACCTATTTTATTGACCAGCTTTTAATCTTATACCCTGCGCCTTGTGAAAGCTAGCTAAGATTTTGAGGAAGGGGGCGGGCCCATGAAACGCGTCAAACTGCGGCCGGTGGATGGCGATGTGACCGGAGGCAGCCGTGTTATGTAACCGGGGCGGAATTATCTTGGGTTAACCGATAGTGTGGCCGTTGGCTTTTTGATAAGCGTGACGAAAACTTTTGTTTGCGAGTACATATACCCCCCTTTTATTTATTCATTTAATAAAAGATTTTACATACGGAGGTGGCGCTGTGTTTTCTTTGTTTTTTATGTACGTGATGGGAGCCCCAGAGCCTTTGGATGAGCAGCCCCTCAAGATTGCGTGAAGATTCTGAACCGCTTAACAACGGCAACCAGTAGCGCCAGGAGACAACAAACATTTTTCTACTGACATGTCTATGTTATTATTAATCATCATACATAGAGGGATGCATTGGTAGAATTTGATTTTTGAGAATAAAAGGTCCGCTTTAAGCAAATAAGGGACACAATAAGACACAGACTAGGGTCCCTTTTATTTAACATTGACAGTCTGAGACAATTGTTCTGTGTACTTGTGACCCCTGAGCCTGTTATAGTGGGCAGCCAACTGAGTTTTGTAAAGTTCTAAAACAGATTTAATCACTTGAGATGAACCAGATTTTCACTCCAACAGACGCACAATAAAGAAATGGTCAGGTTTGGTTTTATCCTGCCGCAGGGCTACTTTCGAGCAGCAGAGGAAGGAATTTATGACTCAAGCTGTAACCTTGTAGTAAATTGAACTGATAAGTGTCAGCCATTATCTGTGCCAAGTCTGTCTTTATAAACACTTTTTCGGTTATCCTCACCTTACTGAGAGCTTCTCTGTATTTCTGGGCGAATTCCGCCATCGTTGTGGGAGTGTACAGGTCAGATTTCTGCCACACATCTTCCTTTAGACAATGATTGATGTTCAGCTCGGCCCTTTTCAAGATTGAGGAGATCAGGGACAAGATTGTATTTTTTACTATCTTATTCGGCACCTGCAACACATCAAAAATGTTCCATGTCAAAAAGGGAAGATGTCAGCTGACTTTAATTGAAATAACCGTCTTGTAAATGTCTAAATATTCATAAACCAACCATTCAAAATGGCCTGAAATATTAGGGTGGAGTGGACATATACAGCCTTACATTTGCAAGAAGTGCAACCAATATGGAATGTACAATATGTAAAGCACTATATAAATGCCTATAATATAAAAATATGGCATCAGTTGCAAATGATGACAGGCAGAGCAGTGCTTTCATTATAGGGAGCTAACCGTGTCACCAGCATTGTTTATTATTGCATACACATACACTACTTGTCAAAAGTTTTAGAACACAGTTTAGCAGTTGAACATATCAATGTACTCTGAACCGAAATCAAATACTGTATTGTTCGGATAAGTTCTTCCTAACAATGTTGCAGAAGTTCCCACAAATGTGTTATTCTTGTAGGTTGCTTTGCTTTCACCATTCTGTCCAGTTCATCCTGAACCAGCTTGATGGGGTTTAAGTATGGAGTCTGTGCTGGCCATTCCATCACGCTTCCTCCTCCATATTTGACAGTTAGTGTCACACACCGAGGAACCGTCCTTTTGTCTACTCAGCAGCGTACAATAACCCTGCATGATGAACTGAATATCTCAAATTTTGATTCATCGGTCCACAAGACCTTCTTCCAGTCCTCAGTAGTCCACTGGCCGCGTTTCATGGCCCAGGCAAGTCACTTTTTCTAATTTTGCCATCTTAGCAATGGCTTTCTTACTGCCACTCGACCTGTCAAACATGCAGCTCGAAGTCTTCTCTTCATAGTTGAAACTGAGACTTGCTTACTTCGATCATTGTTAAGCTGTGCTTGAAGCTGTTGTCCTGCGAGCCGCCTGTCACGCAAGTTGTTGACTCTCAGAAACTTGTCTTCTGCCAGACCTCTTACTGTCAGAGTTTCCTCCAGTTTCCAAGTGCCTTTTGATGGTGTAGGAAACTCTACTCACGGACACCTTGGCTTTCTTTAAAAAAGACCTACACTTTAAAGGGTTATAATGGTCTGTCTGTCTTCCTTTGTCTTGCCATTTCGAGAGCAATATAGTACTTCGTGCAGTACAATACTGTCCAAATATCGCAGAAGAGGGTGTAGTAACACAGTCTATTCCACCACTACTTTTATACAGACAGAGGGCTTGTGAGTAATCAACAAAAGTTGGGACACATGCAGGAATTGTTGGCATAAACTTTCAAGGCTTCATTTCCTTACATCGCTGCAGAACAACTGAATTGATAACCCATTACTTCTTCCCTGAAAAGGCATTTTTGTATGACTCTGAAATGTACATAATTTTTCCGTTTCCGTTAACCTAAACTTCTTTTCCACCTCTTGGCAGTTTACCGCTTACCTTTGTACCATTTCAGGTTATTCACTGGACTTGAAGTGCTTACATTTCAATACAAACTGGAAACATGAGGGTGTTCTAAAATGTTTGACCGGTAGTGTGCATATTTACAGAAACACAAATTGTACTCTAGTAGGATAAGCCAGCTCAATCTACTGCTGTCTGGGACTAAAGCCCCTTTTACACGGACGGGATCCGTTCCAATCAGAAGGGGATCTATGCACTTTTGTGACATCCGCACTTGTTCATTTTTTTCCCTCCATCTTGCGATGGAGGGAAAAACTGAACCAGACGGGCCTATGGGTAGTCATATGTAAATGGACACATGTCCGCTTACATCAGATTGTCTCTGATCTTACTCAATCAGGTCCGCCAAAAAGGAACTCTGTTTAATTTTTTTTCTGGACATAGACGGAGTCATGGGTAATCTGATGTAAACAGATGCATGTCCGTTTATATCCAGCTGCCCACAGTTACATTGGGCTTTCAATCAGATTGGGCTGACCAGATTGCCTGTGTGAAAAGGGCCCAAAATAAATAGGTATGATTCTGTGCTAGATTTGAGCCTTGCGCCACGTGTTCCTGAGTTATAGAACCTTCGACTCATGTCAGAAATCCTGTGATGAACTGCTTCCTGATACGCTCTACTGTATAGATCAAGAGGTCTTATTTAAGGACTGGCAGTGCACATTATATTGTAGAAGGCAGACCCAGGAATATTTATAAGTGGGCTTCCATATTATGGTATTACTAGCCCCCTAGGATTTCAGTGTGACAATCCTCAACTGAGAAAATCTGCTCCAACACAAATTATCTGATGGACTTTCTTTCATTCCAATGCAATTTTGTTCCCATATACGAGCCCATGCAAAAAAACTTACTTGTGTCATCCAATCACATTTCTTTCTCCTCTGAAATATGAAACACAAACTTTTGCTATGGGAAAATGTCCAACATTTTCTCTAGTTTAAACCTCAATTTTCTGCAACTCAGCCCCTTGGACTGCAAGTTAATGGTGGGACCTCAACAACTGGATAGACAGCGTTCTGCCAGTACGGTCTTACATGGAAGGCATGTATGTTTATGTACAGTCAGCAGTACTACCCACACATAGAAAGTTTGACAGTCACAGCAGCTGAAAGGAAACACGGACAGATAAGTACTTCCGACTTTCCAGATATATACTGTATACTTGTTTGGAATCAGTGCCTCAATTTATTGAAGCCAGAGGGTCAGTAAGGTATAAGAATTGCTGCAGTGTACAGAATAAATGACTGCAGCTGATAGGGATTGTGAAGCTTGGGCCCTTATGATGCTGATCTGTGATTCTGATTAGTGCAGAGGGAGAAGCAGTGATACAGACTGTATACCCAAAGCATAAGAGTGCATGCCGTCACTTAAGACAACTCAAGAAACACCAATGACAGGACACAAACTTACATTAAGGCCTTGAGTGAGCATAGTCTTGTTACACATGGGAGCCACTGTTGCTATCATCACCATATTTATCAGCCGTGGAAGAGGCACATATTCTGTGGTCTTGAAGGCGACAGACACTGGTGGCTGGGCATCATAAATCTGCAAAAGGCAACTCAAAATCAAAAATTCACAATCTAACAATCTACACATATCTATTGGTCTGTCACTATAATGGAATGCCTCTCTAGCCAACATGAATATCTGTAAAGCATTAGAGCAAGCTCCATCACTATCAGGAGGTGCCAGCGCTTCACCAATTCAGACTGATCTGGCATGCCAACTTGTCTTAGAGCTGCTGCAGGTGTGCAGGCACTTTTTTTTTTTTTTACAAATTTGTAAAATGTCCTAATGGCAATTTGAATGATATGAAATGCTTGTGTAAATTTTCATGTGGGACCAATGCGGATCTTCTCTCTAGCTATCTAATTTCTGTACATGTCCTGCCGAAACAAATACTTTTTTCTTAAAGTGGAACTATGATGCAGTCTGTCACTAGCAATTAACATAGCATCACATAGATTTATTACCTCTTAAGCTTGTCAATAGCTCCATCCCCTCCCCCCCCCCTTCACTTCTTGTTCCTTCTGTTCTTTTCCCTCTTAAAAGCCCTCTACTGATTTTGCAGAGTGTGTTGGAATGTAATTTCAACAATAAGCAATAAAGGATTTACACAGGCTCACCTTTTTCAGTAGTTTGATGTTCTCTAGCCAGGCAGTTTTGAGTCGAGGAACAAAGGAGTACTGCGTTTCCTTAAAATACCGGCTTAGTAAATCTGGACAAACTTTAAGAACATTCACCACCAACTCCCCGACCAGCTCATCCTCAGTCGCTGACTTCAGTCCAACCAGGAACTGCAGAAGGACCAAGTTCCCAGCCCTAGAAATAGCAAGCACTGTTTACAAGGGCTTCAAAGCATTACCCCCATCATCATTTTAAGTTAAATAAAGCACAGTCCTGTCTTCTGCTGTATCTTTAAGTTAGCCATACACATGTAGATCTGTCTTGCTCAGCCTGACTAATGTATTTAGACAGCTGCTGGCACCAATATCACTGTTTGGTCAACAATTGTCAACCTGGCTCCTTTAATTTTGACTTTTGGCGAGTCGAATGGTGCTGACAAGCCCATGATTCAAATGTCAGAAATATGAGCCATGTATGGCTAGCATCACAATGCTCCGGTAAGCCAGAGTAGAGATCTTAGTTAAACTTTATAGCCACCACAAACATTACAATCTGACTGCACCATCTCCTTTAAATTTACCAACAATTAAGCAGTAAAATGGACTGCCTGATTGAATACAAAATGAACGGATAGTTTAGGTAGATCTAAAGTTGAGTATAAGGTCAGATTGTAATATACTGTATTTTTCGCTCCATAAGACACACTGTTTTTCCCCCAAAAGGAGGGGAAAATGTGCCTGCGTCTTATGGAGCGAATACCTATCGCCCGACGCCTGGGACATGCAGTTTCGGGCGCCGGGCGAGTAGTTTTTTTTTTTTGTACATTCAGCCCTGCTCCTGATAAGCAGAGCTGAATGTACAGTGGGAGCCGCTGCTCGTTTAATACAAGTGATCTAATTAGATCCCTTGTATTAAATCGAGCAGCGGCTATCGTGTCCGCCCCCCGCCGTGGTTTTCGGGGGCCCCCGCTCCTCCATAGGAGCTCACCATAGAGCCCCTTGAGCAGACAAAGAACGTCGTTCTTCGTCTGCTCTGTGCGATTACTGAGACCGTGGCGCTATAATCACAGCGCCACCTGTCTCAGCGGTCACTAACTGCAGCTTCTGTGACAGAATCCCTGCGTCCTATCGTCCGGAGCGTCTTATAGACTGCAAAATACGGTATATGATGAGCTTTAGTTCTTTTTTCCAAGTATTTTTATGAAGCATTCATGAAAACCCTAAAATGCTCCAACATTTGCTCTCTAAGTGAGCCAGTATAGAGATGTACAGAGCACTCATGTTGGCCAGTGGCACTAGGAAGTCATCTGAGAAGTTGAGCTCAGCTTGTAAGCCATAGTGGGAGAAGTGAGGAATCTCAATAGTTCTGTAAAGACTTTATAGAAGATGGTACCAAGTGGTCTATCATGTTTCGGTCTATCATGTTTCGGTCTATCATGTGGTCTACCAAAGAGAACAAATTAATAAGCTTCACTCCAGTCTGTACTGGTTCCTTGGGTGATAACTTTAGGGCTGCAACAACTAATCGACATAATCGATTATAATCGATTATTGAAAAAGTTCTCAACTTTTTCAATAATCGATTAAACTTATTTCTCAGCTCTGAATTACACTTAATATAATTGTAGAAGACAATATGGTAAACCCTCAAACCAAGTTATAGTCCGCTAGCAAAGTGCAAAATGGGAAAACCAATAGCGTACCATGATCACCTCTAATATCAGCCTGGGCAGGCCCCCTTTATAATTGGGCAGTCCCCTTCTATAAGTGGGCAACCCCCCACCATACCTGGGAGGACCCCTCTCAATATTTAATGGACTTGGCCAGTCTCTTTCTGTAACCAGAAAAACTTGAGTTGAGAAATCTAGGCTTGTAACTTGGGCAGCATGCATTCTATCATCGTATAGCTCTAGAAAATACTGTGCTTAATTACGTTTCTCTTACCTTGCAGCTGTGCCCAGGCTCGGGTCATAGAAATTTATTCCATGTTTTAAAGAGCAGCACAGATCCATTAGAAAGTTGTGTACCAGCTCCCTTATCATCAATTTCCCAGCTTCCTTTGGATCATTTGTGTTCTATGGAAAAAGACATTCATCTAATTAACACTTTTGAAATCTTAAAAGATAATAAACTGCTTAAAGAAAAAAAGAGCTGTGGTGTGTAACAGCAAAACACATGAAATACAAAGTAAGCTTGTGAACGGTTGAAACGGTTGGTGAATATATTTAGTGTAGGTATTTATAAAGTGCCGACAATTAATGCAGCACTTTACATATAGACAGGAGCCAATTAACCTACCAGCATGTCTTTAGAATGTTTAAGGAAACCACAGTACCTGGAGGAAACCCACACAAGCACTCCATGCAAATGGTGTCCTGGCCAGGATTCCAACCAAAGACCCCAGTGCTGCAAGGCAGAAGTGCAAATGTAGTCTTTTAAATGTGGATAGCGACTGTGCTGTGCTAAGTTCACCCAGAAACTGACACTTCAGAGGATAGTGTGCATATTACCCCGCTAGAGTCTTGTACATCTTGTTAGCTCCAGCATAGAGATCTACCTTTGGAGTTTACTGCTCTCAATGTCTAACCCTTGCTGCCGCAGAACAGTCTTGCTTTTCCTCTGCATTTGCTATGATGCAAGAGACAATGCAAGCATATATGGAAAGATCTCCAAGCACTGATGACAGCTGGCAAGCTGGAAATTCAAGAGCAGAGGGTGTCTTTCTGCTGATCTGTGAAGATGAAGAGAAGTCTTGAAGTCCTGTTGGAATTCACTAAAACAACAAACCAGTTTCTGAATGGGCTGACCCTAAGATCATCAAAGGGTAGTGAGAAGCAAAGAGTCATTCAGAAAATCAAACATATTTCATTAAACATGAATGACCAATGTAAGGTCACGTGGTGGCAGCGACTCATGTAACGGATTCACACCATAAAAATGAATAAAATCAAAACAGTCATAACCATTTCTTCACCCCGTCCTGAAAAAAGGAGCACATCGCACTGCACCCCCTCCTGAAAAAAGGAGCACATCGCACTACACCCCCTCCTGAAAAAAGGAGCACATCGCACTGCACCCCCTCGTGAAAAAAGGAGCACATCGCACTGCACCCCCTCGTGAAAAAAGGAGCACATCGCACTGCACCCCCTCGTGAAAAAGGAGCGCATCGCACTGCACCCCCTCGTGAAAAAGGAGCGCATCGCACTGCACCCCCTCGTGAAAAAGGAGCACATCGCACTGCACCCCCCTCGTGAAAAAGGAGCACATCGCACTGCACCCGCCCTCCTTAAAAAGAACACATCACACTGTGCGCGCGCGCACACACACACACACGCGCACACACAAACACATCCTTAAAAATAACACATCACACTGCACCCCCCTCCTTAAAAAGAACACATCACACTGTACACAAAAATGCTCTGCCTATAAGACCACCCTACCTGCACATCCTTGGTGCTGACATCTACAATACCATTCCAGCGGTATAGGGAAGCTATGTGATTTAGAATGGAAGAAGTAAAAAAACGCACTTTCTGGGTCTTTGTGATGGCTTTATTTTGAATAACCTGCAAGCAGAATTACAAAAAAAACATTGAATACAAATGAAAAAAGCAAATTATAACGAAAGAAAACATTGGATGATAAATATTAGTGTTTTGAAGGAAACGATAGGATGAGAAATATTAATGTGTATGTAATGACAAAATGTTTTTGATAAAGTGAAGAAGTGCTAAAGCATCTGTCAGGCTTTTATTGCTGTGTGTCTTGCTGGAGGATTCAGCCTCTAAAATTTGTTCTAGAGACCATTGTCTCTCGTACACAAAGTGATGGGAAATCCAAACTATTAAAGTTGTCACAGGAACAGGGGGTTGAATTCTGCACATACATTTTAAAACAAGGCACTCTGCAGTCAGGTATATCAGATCCATGCAAGTAGATAGTTCATACTTTGAAAGGAGTGTAGTAAAACAAAAACCTCACCTTGGTTTGCAGCAAGGAAATCAGGAGGTTTACGGTAGATATTCGATCTTCCTTTGTCCCAGTGATGAAAATCTCACTGAAAAAGCCTAAAATAAAAAAAAAAGATAACAGCAGATTATATCAAATATAACTGAGTGGCATAAATCTATAGGGATGTCATCCTATGGCCTTATTTTAATTATAAAGAGAACCAGTCACAAAAGGACACCAGTTATAATTTTAATCTCTGATGTAATTATGCCATTATGGTGCAATCTTATCTTTCAAGAATTACTTTTTGACTTGTACGTGTTCATTTCAGAATGAGTGTCAGGCCATCTTATATCCTGTCTGAGCTCAGCACTTATCACACACTCATAACCGTCATATAAAACAAAAGCGCTGCTAGGAGAACATGAAATAAGCTGAAGGCTTTCTGAAGCGATTGGTTTATCTTCTTCAAACAGCCTAGACAGAGCCTCAGTTATCAGCCCTGAACTCAGGCTGGAGGCAGGTCAGCCTCCACATGGGGGATTTACAGCCTGATACTGGGCTGAGATTTTTTGCACACGTGTTTAATACCGGACTGCATGCAACCCACTGCACATATGTGTGGTCTGACTGCATTTGTCTGCTCTGCTTTGGATGTGCATGTCTGCTCTGTGATATTGTGTTGTTGTGTGTCTGTGCTCATTACATTTGTTCTGTGCAGTAAGTGGGGGTAGCCCATAGTCTTCAGTATCTGATGTACAATCATTCCAGAGGCTGTGTACTCACTCCAGTGAGAGGACATGATGACAAAACAAAATAAAGGAATAAAAGGAGACACAAAAGAGAAGAATGAAACATTGCTTGGGGTCCACCCTCTACAACTGGGCAGCCGGCTTCCCCCCTCTCCACACCAGGGCAGCCGTCGTCCCCCCTCTCCACACCAGGGCAGCCGTCGTCCCCCCTCTCCACACCAGGGCAGCCGGCCCCTCTCCACACCAGGGCAGCCGGCCCCTCTCCACACCAGGGCAGCCGGCCCCTCTCCACACCAGGGCAGCCGGCCCCTCTCCACACCAGGGCAGCCGGCCCCTCTCCACACCAGGGTATTATTTTTCTGTAAACAACCAGCTAAACTTGACAAAAATCAGGTTGTAGCAGGATACAGCATGTCACTATTCTTCAATAAAAGCTAATAAACAAAACATTTGAACCCGTAAAAGCCAATCAGCAATCACTGAAGGTGAAATATAAAATCATATGGTTTATGCATTTTGTTCTCAGCAGTACGGCCCACATGTCTACGTTTTACAACACAATGTTATTTTATTATAGCCAACAGGGCCATCTACTGGCTTTTATAAATACTACATTACCTTGTCCACAATGTCTTGTACTGATGCTTACGAATATTTCTTTCATTTAATAATTTATTTTTAAGGTACTGGAGGTCAAAAATTGTATACCGCCATAGGCAGAAGATGGCTTCCAAAGACATTTTCACTTCACTGAGCATCCAGCTGGACCAGAATCCGATCCTGGGCCACAGAGGTCTGATCCTGCTCTGGCACCATTACAATGAACCAGCAGAACACGAGGCCTACTGCTGATATAGCCTGCTAGTTTTTGCTGCCTGCGTCCGGACCTGCTCTTCCAATAGGTCTACTAAAATGTTTCCTGGGCGCAAACTGAAGCCTTAGGAGGAAGCCCACACAAATATGTCAGTGCTGCAAGACTATGATATTACCCACCATGCATACACTCAAGCCTCAATAGCTCAGTACAATGCAATGCAAGTTTCTTGATACACATTGACTAAATGTGTACAAATAAGCCAATCATTATACTATATAGATTACCTTTGAGCTCCAGAATTTGAACAATTGTAGTATTATCTCCAGAAATCAGGAAGGAGAGAGCAAACTGTATATATGCCATCCTGACGTCAGGTCTGCCCTACAATGGAAAGACAGGAGATTTCAGTGTTTCAGCCAAGAAAAGGGACATTAGGGTACATTGAAGTGAAACCAAAATGTTTTTGTGGCAGTTTTATTTTGAAGCTGAACTCTGAGCAGAAATACATGACACATAAAAGACACAGGACTGTATTGATCAATACTAGGGATGCACCAATACTGTTTTTTTGGTATCGCGTACCGATATTTTTTTTGGTACTTGTCAATACGGAATACCGGCATTCCGAGGTAGCATGGGCCCACTGGCATCCTGATTACCTGGGAAGCTGATATTCTATCTAAAGAGCACCGGCTACACATTTCCTCACAAAACTGCGAGCCAGCCTGGCTTCCTAGCCAATCAGGAAGCCAGGTCATGATGTGCCACCTGGCTTCCTGATTGGCAGGGAAGCCAGCTCCATGCTCCCTCGCTGCACTGCCAGTCAGAGGGATTCTTCCTCTGGCCGGAAGTTCCGGTATCGGGAGTAAGCATTGGAGCATATGGGCGAGTACGAGTACTCACCCAAATACTCGGTGTTGGTGCATGCCTAATTAATACATAATTAAATGTATTTTTTAAATGTAGGCAGTGTATCTGAATTTGACCTGTTATCAGACCATTGCAGTCCCTGTGGAGCGAAAACGTAAATATCAACCTGGAGTTTGTTTACATGCCAGTGCTGCCACTCTAATACATTACATACATCCGTTGCAGTGAAAGGGTAAATGTGGCCACAGACATTAGGTCAATGTGTGGCCAGCAGGTACAATCTATTATGTAGCCTGTTTTATGGATCACTATGCACACTTGGATCGCTGGAAACACTTACCTGCTTGTCTCTCTTCTTCAGCAATCCTGGCAGATACTTGTTGTTGAAATCAAAATGGCTAAAAACATCCCTGGCACAGTCCGGTCCTTGTGTCACCATTGCGGATAACATGTTGAGGCAAATTCGAGACATCCTGTGCAAAGAAGTAAAGATTTTTAGAAGGTATAAACAAATAACTTCTGTGTGTTACCACAGAAATGTTGTGTTGATTAGCAGTCTAGAGAAGCCTGTGTGCCTTCTGGCTTCCTCAGGGGGTGCCTGGAAATCTTGTGATGAGGGGACTCTGAGGACAGCGAGGCCCCTGAGGGGAAGAGGGCAGCGAGGCCCCTGAGGGGAAGAGGGCAGCGAGGCCCCTGAGGGGAAGAGGGCAGCGAGGACCCTGAGGGGAAGAGGGCAGCGAGGACCCTGAGGGGAAGAGGGCAGCGAGGACCCTGAGGGGAAGAGGGCACCGAGGACTCCAGAGGATTGCACTATGGGCAATGCCTCAGCATACATAAACCTATCACACTGACATCCTATATTTTTCCCTTCTAATTATTATGCATTTTAGCAAACACAGCGTGATCTTCCCAGCCACTTTATGGCCTGAAAACATGCAGAACAATCAGCCCCTAGGGAAGCCCTTACCTGTGGGTTTCTGAGTACACACAGGAATAGACTAACTTCATGTGTGTGTTCAATATGTACTTCACTATGTTAATACCAGCAACACTCAGATGTGACAAGTCACTGGCCGTTCTCAGCAAAATGGCTTCCAGGGCTTGAAAGACTAACATTATCTGAAATCAGAGAAACACAAAAAAGAAAACTATGAATGGATAGCCCATATATAGGAAAACATAATATGAGACGTTTGGTGGCAGAAATCAGTCATGCAAGTACAGTAAACAACATTACATTTAATTATTTATTTTAAAGGTTTTCCAATGGGCTCAACCTACCATAAGAAATGTTATTGATGTCTGTTAGTGTTTTAAAGTACAACACCAGACACGGTGTCTTCTACTTTTCTTTTTCACCATGTTATAATCTTTAGGCTGTGTCTAAGCTCCACTAAGCTGCTGCCGGAACATAGAAGAGGAGCCGTACTTCCAGCTCTCAGTCGCTTGGTGCAACGTCTGTTACAGATAACAGTTCCAGTGTTGTGCCTCCATCCCTTCTTCTGTTTTTCGCCTTTCACAAAGCACAACCTGTGATGGCCCTATGACTGTACTTTATGAATGGCTAAACAGAGAGAGGGAGCGAAGGCACAATACTGGATATGGAAATGCATCTACAGGTGTCCACACATGTCCTGAGATACTGTATCTTCAGTGCAATTTGGATGCTCGAAAAACTAAAAACAATGGGGGGAATTTATCAAAACTGGAGCAGATTTGCACTGCAAAGAATCAGCTTCTGTGTCTCATTTTCAAATCTTACCTGAGCAAACTGAAAAGAGAAGCCGATTGGTTGCCATGGGCAACTGCTCCAGATTCTGTCTGCTCCAGTTTTGATAAATACCCCCACTGTTTCCAGTTTACCTTTTAAAACAAACACTACAGATCTGACCAATTCTGAATACTGACCAATATAAACTGCTTGAAAACGGTTCTGCTATAAGTTTGCCAGCTATACAGAATTCATTTGTTCTCCAAATTCTACAGCCGTCTAGATAAAAATTTAAACAGAAATAGGATACTTATGACATGACCTGCTATTGCTATAGTTTTATGTAAAAGGACTAGGGCTGCAACTAACGATTATTTTAATAATTGAAAACACTCAGTACAGAGGCTTACTGTTCATTCACTTGCTATTAACCCATTTATGAATGGAAAGGAAGCCTGTGTACTGAGTCGCTTCCTGTTCATTCATAAAGTGAGCAGATATTAAATAACTACTATGACTCCATTCATAAATTAAGTGATGAAGAGCACTTCCTGTTCATTCACAACTGGGGACATAATAATCACTATATCCTCAGCTGTTTACAAACAACGAATGATCAGTACTGATCGCTCAGTGTTTGGTCTGCACAGGGAAGGGTCGGTAAATATTTGACTCTATCCTGATCCACTCCGCCCCCTCCTGCCTGTAACCGGAGCTCTCCCCCCTGCTGGGCGTCGGCTGCCCACAGGCAGTGGGGAGCAGCAGGGATCAGAGGGGACACAGACAGCAGCATGCAGGGGGCTCCCAGCGAGGAGGAGAGAGCTGCAGGAGCAGAGTCGATGCAGCAGCAACAGGGGGGAGCTGTCCTCACTGCTGGGCACCAGCAGGGGTTCTGTGTAATCAATAATGAGAATCATGGACAACGATTGGAGTTTTTTTGAGGAGGAGCAGGTGGTCAATAGTGTCAAAAGCAGCAGAAAGGTCTAATAGTGAGAGTAAGGAGTAGTGGCCATTGTTTTTAGCTGTTAGTAAGTCATTGGTGAGTTTTAGGAGGGCGGGTTCAGTGGAGTGTTGGGGGCGAAAGCCGGACTGTAAGGGATTGAGAAGGTTATCAGCGAGGTGGCGGCTCAGATTGCATCACTTCCGTTCCCTGGGCTGTCAGTTCTGGGCTCCTGCAGCCCAGCTATAAGCTATTGAAGTGCGATCTGCACTTGAATAGCTTATTTCCAGTGTAAAGGTGACACTGGGGGTCTTTTTGACCCCCAGCATCACCTTAAAGAGTACCTGTCACCACCATCTGCTATCACATGGGGGGGCATGTAAGCCCCCCTGCGTGATAGCAGTCAAAGTAAAGTTAAAAAAAAAAATTTTTAAATTAAATAAAATAAATCTACTAATAATAAAAAAAAACATTTTTTAAAGTCTCCCGCCCCAGTGAGCACGAGCGCCGCCACATAAACATGCGTCGGGTGCACCTACGTATGAAAACGACGAACGCGCTACACATGTTGGGTATCGCCGCTCACGCCGGAGAGCAATAATTCTAGGGCCAGTATTTTGGGGTATCTCTAAATTGATGACCTGTGGGGGCTTTTAAAGCGTCTTCTGTGGACTTTTTGGGGTACTGCAGTTTTTCGCCGTTTCACGGACGCACGCAATTTGTAAACTGGGCATGTTGGGTATCGATTTACTCGGTGTAACATCATCTTTTATATTTCATTAAAATGGGTATTTTGTTGTGTTTTGGAGCATTTGATTACATTTTTCACTAAATGTTGGGGTTTAATAAGGAGTTGCGCTAATATTGCGCAGCATAAAAATTTGCAACTACCACCATTTTATTCTATAGGGTCTTGGCATTCAGAAAATATATAATGTTTGGGGGTTTTAAGTCATTTTCAGGCCTAAAATGTGGAACATGGGTACAAAAAAATTAAAAAAGGCCTCAGTCATGAAGGGGTAATTGCCCAATAACAGGCTGGGAGCTGGACTTAAATAGTTGGGAAATGGCTTTATAACCATTCTTAGATTGATGGGCAGCAACAATGACTTCTCTAAGATCATTGCTGATGTCTTGACTCCTTGGCATTGTGTCAACATACACCCAAATGCTCCAGACCAGCAAACTGCTAAAACTTTGCCTTTTATAGAGGCGGTCACACTTGATGATCAATGAATCAAGGGCATTTTATTAGTAGCACCTGACTGCTACTTAGCCTCTTAATTCCTAGCCTGGAAGCAGTAAGGGTGTACTTAGTTTTTCACACATGGCTTCTCTATTCTGGTTTTATGTTTGCAAAATAAATAATGACACGGTGTAATATGTCATTTGTTGTTCATCAGAGGTTGTATTTACCTAATTTTAAGACCAGATGATTTTTTTTTTTTATTATGCCCTGATACTTAAAAGCATAGAATTCAAAGAGGGTGCGCTTTCTTTTTCACATCAATGTAGCTGATTGTCTGGAGTTCAGCTATAAGGACCCGTGTACACCAGACTGTTGCGCACGCTACCATGAACTTAGTGCCCGTTGTCACACAACATACCTAGCATGCGGTACCTTCTATACACTAGGTGCATTGCCTTTAATTTAAATGCATTGTGTTGGGAAATAGTGCACGCACTACTTTTCTCACCACAATGCAACACATTCAAATGAATGGCAATGCAATGCGCCTAGCACATGGTACAGCACACTCGGTGATCTTTGCTGTAACGTGCTTAGCGCAGCCCTCTGGTGTAAATGGGCCCTTAATAAAGTGCTCTCACCTCAGTCTCAGGTCTTCTCTCCCCATCTAAAAGCTTCAGAATTTCCAGGCATTCCACAGAGATCTTAATATAACCCTCCACCACATCATACAGGTGAGGACTGGGGAGTTTTCTAGATAAAGTGATGAATTTCTCCAAGCCTGAAAGATATAAAGATGCATTAACCAAAGAGAAATGTACAGTAATGCACAACATCATAGGACATCATCCATGGAATAGGGCCTTTCACTAATGTAAACACAACTCAGTATGATCAATTCATCATGGCCTAATGCTTGTCAGTAAACATATCAATAAGGTTAACACAGAACACAACTGTTACCTCACCTCACCTGTTACAGCATTCTGACGATACCCTGGGGGGCTCTCACCTGTTACTGCAATCTGGCTATACCCTGGGGGGCCCTTACCTGTTACTGCAGTCTGGCCATACCCTGGGTCCCCTCACCTGTCAGTGTAGTCTTGCCATCCACTGGTCCCCCTCACCTGTCAGTGTAGTCTTGCCATCCACTGGTCCCCCTCACCTGTCAGTGTAGTCTTGCCATCCACTGGTCCCCCTCACCTGTCACTGCAGTTTGATCACAGCCTGGGGCTCCTCATCTATCAGTGCAGCTTGGCTTTACTTCAGGGTCCCTCACCTGTCAGCGTAGTCCACCTATACCCCGGGGTACCTCCCCTCCCACTGCAGTTCCCCTATAGCCCTGGGCCCCTGACCTGTCAGTACAGTCTAGCCACCCCCTGACCTGTCAGTGCAGCCTAGCCATCTCCTGTGCCCATGACCTGTTAGTGCAGTCTACCTATACCAAGGGGTCCCTCACCTGTCAGTGCAGTGTGGCCACAGACCTGGGTCCCTGACCTGTCAGTGCAGTCTGGCCACAGCCCTGGGTCCCTGACTTGTCAGTGCAGTCTGGCCACAGCCCTGGGTCCCTGACTTGTCAGTGCAGTCTGGCCATAGCCACAGCTCTGGGCCCCTCACCTTTCAGTGCTGTCTGGGGATCTCTCAGTAAAGATTTAAAGAGGGTCCCTGTAAATTCCACCTCCGGAGATTTGGCTTTCTTGGGCTCCGAATCGGAGCTATCCGCTCCCAAACCCCGGCTCCTTTTCCCCATGATATTCTGATCTCCTGCCTGTGTACTGTCACCAGCACACAACACGTGGGGTCAGCATACAGGAAGCGGTCCGCATCTATCCCGCTCCTACGGAAGCAAAACACGCTGAACAGACGTTCCGCATCCAGGAAGTGACGGGCTCGGGAGGAGGTGATACACTCAACTGGATAGTGGAATCACCATCTGTGCAAACAACTGAGGACACATAGTAACACCAGCAAGCTAAACAAGCTTGTTTGTAGAGTCAGAGAAAAAAATAAATGTCAGCGGAAAGATTGTTCCTGCTTCTGAAAACCAAATATTTTAGTCTTTTCTTATCTCTATCCTTTGCCCATTGTAGGCAACGTGGCAGGTTCTCTTTACCAGAGGAACAGCTTCCGGTAAAGGCTTCCAAGAGTGCCAAATCCTTGTGTCCCCTGCCATAGTCATTGGTTGCTTCCGCCGACTCCTACATCGCTGCAAGACAGTAGTAGCCTACGGGTCGGCGGGCGAAACAATTGATTGTTGACAGGGGACGCAGGCATTCGGCACTCCAGAGAGGTGTCCAGTGACTTTGTTTGAAGACAGCTTAGCTAAGAATTGCTGCCACCTTTTCTGTTCCACTCTCCACCTCTTTTATTTGCCAGCCAGTGTTCTAGCGCCGTTGCTAGGATGCAGGCGGCCAGGCCACACAGCGTCATGCGTTTCCATGGTTGCGGGTGAGCTGGTGGATATGGAATCTACCCACACTGCTGTCAATCACAAGGGAGGTGGACCTGATGGGGAACTTTAACCACTTCAAGACCAGGTGTTTAGACCCCCTTCCTGGCCAGGCCATTTTTCAGTGTTCAGCGCTGCGATACTTTGACTGACGTTTATTCCGTCATGCAACGCTGTACTGAAATGAATTTTATACCATTTTTTGGGGACAGATAGGGCTTTATTTTGGTGGTATTTAATCACCACTGCGGTTTTTATTTTTTATTATAATTAGGAAAAATTACAGAAAATTTTGAAAAAAAAAAGTTTTTTTTACATTATGTTAGGAAACATTTATTATTAACCAGTTTTTTGGTAAAATATAAAAGATCGGGTCACGTCGGGTAAATAGACACCAAACATGTCAAGCTTTAAAATTG